ATACATACATACATACATACATACATACATACATACATACATACATACATACATACATATATATATATGTATATATGTACACGCATACACATGCATACATATTACACACACACACACACACATATATATAGGAAGTGCAAGTGCTCCTAACCAATGTTGTTTTACAACAACAACTACCCAGTTGAATCCCACAAGAGTAGGGTCTGGGGACGTACGCAAACCTTACCCCTACTTGAAAGTAGAGAGACTATTTCTAAAGAGACCCCAACACAGCGTCGAAAGTTGCATTGATTGACTAACTATTACTTCATTAATTAAAGAAGCGCAGACAGTTTAGAGATCTATTTTGCTTTATTCCATCACACCCCAAAGCCAAAAAAGTGAATTTTTGGCTCCATCAGAGATGATGCAATACTTTAAAGAAATGTGAATGCAAATACAAAACATTGTTCAAACCATGTATTTTCACTATTGCTTCATATTGGTTAATCACTTAGTCCAATAGACAACAAACAATAAATAACAATCATGAGGTCAAATCAATAAGATAAAAAAAAGTGCGACTAGATTAATATACTTCACAGAAAAATCTGCATTTATTTTTCTTGGCTAAAAAGAAACTAGAAATACAGGAATTTAGGAGAACTACGCAACCAAAACTGAAACATATGATATGAGGCAATAAAACACCATGAGGGTTTGTGTACCAAATTGAAGAGGTATGGGCTTAGGAAAGTAAGAAACTACATGATTTAAAATCTGCATTGTCGGAAAAGCAGTGATAGCACCCACACCTCTTTAGCTGCTCATGTATTTAAACAAAAATCATCCCAGATACTCCCTCCGTCCGGGATTAATCTTCCCATTTGGACTTCTTCTCATTTTTATGAAGTGTTGACTTTGGGATAGAAATGTCCAAATTACCCTTTTCTTTTGCCACAATTGCCCCTGCCTGCCACTACCACTTCCCATTGCTCCAACCATCTCCGTCAACCCACCACCAGCGCAGAGCCCCCCTCCCCCCACCATCGCTGCAGCCCAACCACCACCTTGCCCGTATCACAATTGTTAGCCCGCCCGGAAATTTAGATCTAAAATAGTTGAGACTAGAAAGGAGAAGAAAAAACTCAACCCTACGCCACTAGGCACTTGGCCACCATCGTTGTCAGTAGCCATGTCTGGGAGAAAAAGAAAGAGAGGAGAAAGAAGAAGGGGGGAAATAGGAGGAGGAGAAGAACATACATGAACAGATCTGTCGCAGATCGACAGATCTGAGACACAGAATCAGGAGAAAGAAGAAGAAAATGAAGAAATAGTACATCCGATCTGGGAGAAGAGGGATAACAAATAAGAGAGAGATGGGGGGGAGGAGGAGGAGAAGAAGAAGAAGAAAAAGAAGAAGAAAGAGTAAATCTGAAGAAGATGAAGATTGGGAGAAAGAGCAGAGAAGAAGAAGAAATGGCTGAGTGGGTGTGGGAGAGAGAGAGAGAAGAATAAGAAATGGGTGTGAATAGAGAAAGAGGAGAAACGACGGAACAAAGCAGGAAAAAAAAGGAAAGGAAAAAAAGAAGATAAATGGGTGAGGGTATTTAGGGTAGTTTGTGTGTTAAAAATTGAAATGGGGAGATTATTTTCAGACGGGAAAAAGGAGAAACGAGAAGATTATTTCTGGACGGAGGGAGTATAAACTTTCTTCAGGCTAAAATCTAAAATTGGCTACAACCCAAGTTATATATGACTAACAATAATACAAGCTCAATGTCTAGGTTTAGATGGTCTCTGTAGACAAATTGAGGATAGCAGCACCACCACATAGATTTACCAGGAGAGCACTTATTGGTGTTAATGGTTTTGTTGCTGGTTGTTGGAAGAATAGAAGATGTTACTGTGACTAGAATAATAGAATTATGACACAGGATGGCAGACAGTGGTCCCACTCTAAGTACATCTAGAATATACTATTCGAAACCATTACAAAAATAGTTGCTTATGAAGAGTTGAAGAGTTTTATCAGCTCATTCAGAGCTCTTTGGTATATCATCTGATAATGATTAGTATCAAGTACTCCGTATATCTTAACATTAAGTTGATAGCAATCAACAGCACTGAACATACAATACAAACCTTGTCAAAATACTCTCCTTCCCATACAATTCTTTACACTTTTGCTTTTTTTTGGGTTTCCCAAAAAAATACTCTACACATACACTTTAATCCCTATTTCGGTAATGAATATGTGGCTACCAAGTACCAACGATTATTCACAAAGAAATGTTGGGCATGGGAAAACTTGTCTCTTCATAGATTTCATGGTAATAGCCTTTTTATGCAATGGATTCGAGCTCAATTTGTCCAGTAGCTCAAGCTCCCAACCCAAAACAGCGGAAATGATAGAACACACTTCAAGGCTGTTTAAATGTAATGTCAATGGAGCTGAATTTGATGATATAAATAAAGTAGGGTTTGATTCCATGAATGGAGATTGTGAGGGACAGTTGGGTAAAATACGTGGGTGTAACAAATATTCCCTCCATCCCACAAACAAGTTTCTGTGGTGGTTAACAAAGCTTGTTGCGGTTAACAATGCTTGATCGAACTTATTTTCAATTTAAGTAGTAGTATTTAATATTGGTGCAAAATTTAAAAATGAAATTTATACATTTAATAACTACATAAAAACTCTATAAAAAAAGAGATTACTTGACTGTGTTATTTTAATTTTTTAACAAATGATTGGCGAAAATAGGTAAAGAAAGTAGATTTAGTTTGATTAGCAAAGTGTGTAATGAGAACTTCTTTTAGGAATGAAGGGAGTATAATTATTAAAATAGATTTCTAAGGTAATGTTAATATATCTTATTTGGGTTTTATTCTCAAGGATTGTGAACTCTTGTTTCATGCTATTGAGGATGCACGAATAGTTTTATTAAAAAGACAATAAATATGGTTGGTCACTCTCTAACTCAAACTGCATATTCCATGTTTGTCATGGATGTTGTCCCCACCTTCCTTCATTTATGGTGTAATGACTAACCATTTGGTTCTCTAATGAATCCAGTTTTACTTCCAAAGAAAGACTCACACAAAGCAAAAACTTACATGCATGATGATCACAACATTATGAATTAGATTGGAACAAATTCTATCAACATGCATCCTTGTTCTCTGACAAGTTGTTATAACTGCTTGTAATTCAGCTTTGAAGGCAGCTGCAAAATGAACACAAAAGTATTAGCACATTAAAAAGGGATATGATTAAGGCCTCGGCCTCTGTGCCATGTATTAACAATGTCATGTTTATATAGAAAATATATATAGATCATTATAAAGAGATGCAAGAATTACAATTAAAAGATTTTAAGGGACAATCACTAGATTGGGTGGTAAGAATTCAAACAGAACTGAGTTCAAGAACATATTACATGATGACAAGCTGGCCAATGCCAATCGAATTCTGTTACGAGCAAATAGCTGACTTTCATTAGTAGGATCTTCCACCCATCTTTGGTTGGCTGCTCTACATATCTGTGATACCAAAGCATGTTGAGTATACACGATGTGAAATAAACAACTGATAATAGCTTTTCCGTGGTTTTTTCGACCAACCTTCCGCATATCTTCTTTTGAAAACTCCAAGAGCGGTCTAACGAGTAAGGTTTTATGATGTTGGGAAGGTTCCAGATTTGTATGCGCACAGTACAATTCTGATACAAACGGCATGCCAGAGAGCCCAAGCACACCGCTATTCCGAGATAATCTCAAAATGAATAGCTCTGCCTGTGTATGTAATTTTATTAAATTACTAAGGTATAACCCTATAAATTGAACAGTTCAAGACTTCATGTTACTAGATTTTCCATTCTGTACTTGTATTATACACCTAGACCAGGTGGGCCAGTGGCACATAGCAGCTTAAATAAAAATGAAAACATGCAATATTCATGGAGTTGAAATTTTGATTGGTACAAACCTGGTCATCAGCATGATGTGCAATTAATAAGACACTCGTCTGATGCTGGATACAAACACTTTGTAGAATTTCATACCTGTCCAAAGTGTTCTTTGTTATGATCTTATCACAGTAAAGCAGGATATCATATAGAAAGAATGAGCCATGGGGTAAAAGGTAGGATACAGTACCTTTTATTACGAGCCTCTTCTTGAACATGGCCCTGTTTCGGTCTACCCTCCAACCATTCGCAATGAGCAATCTCACATTTAATACCTACATGAAGTTACATCCCTCTAAACTCTCTATTAAGAACACCCAGATAAGCTCCAAAACCAAATCAAGAAAAGAAACATCCAATGAAGGTATTGTATATGTACCCATATCGGTGACTCGGCCCTGAACAAGGTTGGCCTCGCCTTTACTCTCAGCTCGTAATCCATGGTCCACTACTATAGCCAAAAGTCCATCAATGTACTGGGTTTTCTCATTAGTGATAAGACCATTACCTTGATTGTTTGTTTTCCAAGACGCTGCTAAAACACACAAGGCCATGCTATCGGGACCACCAGAAACACCCAAAGCTTTTGAAAGAAAAAAAATGGGGAAGAAGATAAATATTAAGATCTTATTACTCTTTATGAAAAAATTAAAGGAGCTCAAGCAGTCAGAAAAATACAATGCTTAAAAAGAAGGGAATAAAATCACAACTCTAATTTATAAAGGACATGAAACTGACCAATACGGTGATGAGGTTTGAGGCCAGCCATTGCCATGCGCTTGGCAAAGGTCTCTGTGTACTTGGACAACTCAACCCGCGTGTTCTCCTGATGGTCATCAGATGAAGAGCAAAGAGTGCGAATGCAAAAGGAGGAATATTTGGATTTGGAGAGTTTAAATGAAATTCTGGAAATGGAGGAGTAGAGTAAGAAGCGGGAGGGATTTGTAGTCTGCTGTACTGCCTGCGCCATTGATAGCTGAGACAAGAGGTGGGCTCCCCTCACTGGAAACCTATCATCATTGTGCAAAAACCGTTTGTGGCCTTCATAAGTATTAAATCTATCATCACTATAAACTCTCTGGACTATCTAAAAAATAAAAACAGTTTTCTGCAAACTCTTGAAGTTCTAAAAATGAAGCTAAATATTACACTAAGCCACGACAACAAGTGAGGTGTGGGGTCCAGATTGGTAAGCAGTTTTACACCTATAAAAAATTAGGAAAGATTATCCAGAATAATCCAAACTTTTACTTGATCTTTCAAAAATAATCCCACCTTTCACTGTGATGCATAATAATGAAGTTTGCGAGTTTTGGGTCGCCGTTAAGTTGCTAACGGCAGGTTAACGAAAACGGCTTGTGTTGCGTATCAAAATGAAAGTTGGGATTATTTTTGATGAATTTTCATTTTTTTTAATTTTTTTGAAATCTTCATTTAAATTTTTAAAATTACTTTCTACCTCCATCATTTCTTTTTCTTTTCCTTAAGATTAGTCTTACATTAAAAAAAATAAAAATAACATATATAAAAAATAACGAATATGAGAAAAGTAACTAAAATGATACAAATTAATAAAATAAATAAGGTAATCTAACTTGAAACTGGCTTTTACATTAAAGTTTTGAGACCCTCAGAGCATACTTCCATCCGGGATCATTAGAATTTGGGCCATCTTCCCCTTCTAAATCTGGAGATTCTTCCATACTACAACAAAGTGTTTGACAAATTAACTTGCCCAGTAGAAAGAAGAAAACCAGCGAGAGAAAAAAATAAAGTAAGAAGAGACAGGAAGGAGAGCCGATATCACCTGCTTGACTGCTTCTGAGTTCGGCCACTTGCGAGACGGGAGGAAGAGACGGGAAGGTGTGCCGCGGTTTGGAGGACTTGCGAGACTCGAGGGAGAGACGGGAAGAGTCGCACGCACTAGAAGAAAAAGAAGAAGGCGCCGTTTAATCTCTTGGGGGTCGCAAAGGTTGGGAGGGTTTAGGGTAGATCTAATCTCACACCAAATCCAATCAGATCAGACCACATCAAATTTAAGAATATCAAATCAAGAAAAAATATAAAAAATAATTATATTTTTCAAGGATTAAATAATAATTACTATTATTTGATTAAATCACATTACTTTATTTAAAGCTACACATGCCTAAATTTTAATTAATATTATAACTTTTACTATTATATTATTATTATTATTATTATTGTATTTCAACCACAAACCATTATTTTTAATAATAACTCAGCTTGAAGGAATGATCCATGGAAGTAATGTTAAATCTTAAGAAGTCGTATTTTTCATACTTAAAAAAAGTTTTTTTAAAATACTTGTTTATAAAATAATTATACAAAACTTAGTTTTAAAAATCATAAATATGTTATACTTAAAAAGAATCACTTTTAAACACTAGGGGGGTGTATTTAATCCAGATTTTGATGGATTTTTTGCGATTTTTAAAATCTGTAGGTATTCTATTCAGATTTAAAAAACTCATTTAAAATCTGGGTGTATTCAATTGATATTTTAAAAAATCCTTCTAAATATGATGGTATTCAAAAAGTTGATAACTTTTTAAAGATTTTTAAAAAGGTGGATTTTGATGGATTTTGTAGCATTAGGTATAAATATAAATCCATTATCAAATCTCATCCAAAAGTCGAAGATTATAAAAACTCCTTCCGTCCTTTATCGTTCCTCCGAAGTCTGACCGTCCGTCTCTCCTTCAACCTCTGCTATCTTCTTCTTCATCATCGTCTCCTTTGCTTCCAGAGTAGATCTGATTATATTGTTTATTCTTGGGTATGTTTTGTCCTAATTGTCTGCACAATTGTGTTCGTCAATCGTCCCTGCTCTGTTTCTTTTTTAATCAATGGTGTAATTCGATTGAGATATATGCGGAAGAAGAAATAATATGAACTGTGCTATTCTTTCTTAAAAGCAAATGGGAACTTAAATTACTCACAGAGGGAGCAAACAACAATACGAAACTTGTAGAAGTAAATGGTGAGTCAAAAAAGAACCTTTAATCGCCGAAGGGAACCTGTGAAGATGAATGTGTTCAAATTCATTCGGGCCGAAACATTAGGAGGCCATTAATATTCTTTTGTAATCAATTTTTTTAATTAGAACAATCTATAGACATTTTAGAATATAAACAAATCCAAATGATAAAATACATTAAAATCTGTCAAAGTTTATATATAATTAAAATACTCCATGGAGTTTACACAATCTATTGATTTTAAGAATTCTAACATAATCTTTTAAAATCTGAATTGAATACACTCCCTAAGATGATATAATATATACAAGGGTAAGTTTATGACAAAATTGATAGAGGTAAAAGAAATATTAGTGTTTAAGATTTTATATGATATTTAATTTGTAAAATGAAATATATTATTATGTAATATGCATATAGAATGTATTTAAAAATAGCATTTATGTTTCTAATATTTAGTTATTTTTATGACGATTATTTAGTTTTCACAAAAATTCAAAAATTAGTGATATTGAAAAGGTGTTTAATATTTCAAAAAAAATTAAATATATCAATGATTAGCTGATTTTATTATTTTACTTTTTTATATATGTATGAATTGTAATATTTTAAAACTATTAAATTTTGAAATAATTTTAAGTTTAATTTAAATCTAATTTAAATTCATTTACACAAGATCTCATTTGATAAAATCAGATCCAATCAGATTAGAACAGATCCAATCATATTAGATCAGATTCAACCAGATCAGATCAGATCCAATCAGATCAGATCAGATCCAATCAGATCAGATTAGATTCAATCAGATCAGATCAGATCGAATCACTTCAGATCAGATAAGATTAGATCAGACCCAATCAGATCAAATTAGATCCAATCAGATCCAACCAGATCAGATCAAACCCAATCGTAATAAATAACGCTAATCCGTAAACCTAAATTAAAAAAAGGAAACAGATGTTCACAAGGCGCGCCTTTTTGCGCATCAAGGCACTGCACATAATGCGATGAGGCGCAGTAAGGCGCGTGCCTCATGAACTGTGCGCGCATCAAGATTGGCGATGTACTATCTCTGGCACTTCGTGCGCATCGCACCTCAAGCGCGCTTTTCACAACTATGTAAAAAAGAAAATAAAAATATACTGAGTGGTGGGTTTTAATATTTTAAGCACTATACAAAGCATTAATGTACCACTTCTTATTTTTTAGAAAAAAAATATTTAGAATAATTTATCGGTCGGCTTGTTCTTTCAAAAAATAAGTAGTACATTAAGACTCTGTATATTACGTAAAATGTTAAAACCCACCACTCCATATATATTTATTTTATTTCTTACCAATTTCAGTTTAATCTCTATTGATTACCTTATTTATTTCATTAATTCTGTATGGTCTTAGTTACTTTTCTCATTTTCATTATTTTTTATACGAGTATTATTTTTAATTTTTTCTAAGGTAAGACTAATCGTTAAAAAAAGAAAAAAAAGGAGGTAGAAAGTAATTTTAAAATTTTAAATAAAAAATTTAAAAAATATTAAAAAACAAAAATGCATAAAAAATAATCCACCTTTCATTTTGTGGTGCAAAACATGCATTTTTGTTAAACCATTGTTAGCAATTTAACAGTGACCCAAAACTCACTAATTTCAATAAAGTTTGGATTATTATGTATCGCTGTGAAAGGTAGGATTATTTTTTAAAGACCGGGTTAATTTTTGATAATTTTTCCAAAAAAAATTGTGCAAAACTTCATAGAAAGTAAAAAATAAGGGAAGTTTAAATTTTCATTTTGATTTAATCCACTAAAATATTTTCAATAATGACTCCTTTTATCCTTTACCTATATCGGCAATGAACTGAGCACTAAGCCAAGAACAAAAGAAATCAATACTCCGTTCGGATTTTGTTTGACTCAAATTAGTTAATAATTCTAAAGCCATATAGCTCCAAATCCCCTTGGTTTGCAATGCTTATAATATGAGTTTTTGAAAGAAATAGATATAAATTTTAAAACTAAAATAAAAAATATTTTGAGAAATCGGAAATGAAGGTTCAGGTGGGATGGTTGCTGGCAGAGGCAGATCGAGGATATTCAACCCATGAGGTCATATTTCAAATAAGATATTGAAGCTTCTGCGTAGGTTAAAGATAATTATGATGTGTCTCACCTATGATCAACTTTGAAAGATTTGGATAAAAATCTATTTTTTGAAGGGTAAATTTCACCCATGGTATACGAACTTTCATCATTATTTCACTTCGGTATATAAACTTTAATACCTATCACAAAAGTACACGAATTTTCAACATTCTTTCACCAGTGGTTCAATATGCGGTTTCTAAATCACCTTCAGGTCATTTGGGATCAAATTATAATTTTATAAATTTAAATTTTATGATTTTGACCTCTTTTCTTTTTTTTTTCTCCACCCTTTTCTTCATCTTCTTCAAGACACCCCACCCTCCCCCTCCATTTTTTTCTTCTCTTCATCTTCCTCTTGTAGTCATATGCCAAGGCATTTCATTCAAGAGCACAATTTACAAAATATGATCTCTCTAATTTCCTTTCTGGATGACTTGAAAGAAACTTTATATCAGAAGCATGTGACATCCGATGAAGAGCTGGAGGAAAGTTTTTCACATACAATATCCTCTGAAGTCTCCTGCAAGTCATTTCTAGACACATCTTCATTGTTCTACTTGAGAACCCAATGTGTCACCATTCTGGAAACTCTTATGTGTTCTGTAACACCCCAACCCACGTAACCCGAACCAACGGGTTAGCGAACCGGGTTGTTACTAAATTGGTATTCGCATGCATAATTTTTTTAAAAAAATAACCAACGGAATAAATTATAAATTCATCCGTGAGAGTTTAAAGCTAAACCAAAATTTATCGGAGTAATAAAACAAGTCCAAAAGTCGCGGAAGCATAATTATACCAAAGTAACGTCCAACAATCCATATAATCAAATAAAATAATGTAGTTTAATTACTAAAGTAAACAAGAGCCATCCACGCCACCACCACTTCAATGCCCTCCGGGTTGCCCATCAAATTCAGTGTTCCTACCTGCGTGCAGTCAAACAACAACGACTACACGCTCAGCGAAACGCTGAGTGAAAATATACCTAAGCCAACATTAACTCACAGAATAGCACCACATTAACATACAATCAACAACAACATGTGATCACGGAGAAAAAAATAGCTTAAATAAACATATTTATATTAACACCTTTAATTTGAACATCATGTCCTTATTTTATTCCACATCAACTACTTTGAGTCATGGCACACCAAGCGATGCTATAAAAGGGCCAGCTCAGAAACCCAAAGGAAAGATGAAAGAGCACGAAGAAAAAATATATGTGAACGAAAAATAGAGAATCACAATTATTTTAAGCCTGAGTTTTTATATCTTTCAATATTTAAAGTATATATATATATATATATATATATATATATATATATATATATCAATTTAGACTTACAAATTAAATATTGTTCGAGTTTTGTTTGTTTGTAAAATATATATTTACAGATGGTCAAGCATCGTCGTTGTGCGTAACAATGTCACTGGTTAAAATCAAGAAAAAAATAAATCCAATACTCGATATGACGAACGGTATGTATACGAAATTACGAATTAATTGGTTTATGACATCTGTATTGTATATTAATTAAATTTACTATTACTTGATTATAAGTTTCTTATCTTAATTTCATCCCATCCTATCGTACTCTTTTAATTTTTTTAGACTTAGGCTATTGGTACTTCATACCATTTCTTATTTTAAAAATATGTGACATAGTCAAAATATGGATTACAGGTATTCAAAGTCAAGGAATTGAGAAATGGGATATGACAAAATATGAAAGAGAACGAGAAAAAGCTATACTCTGACGAAGAAGGGTGCAGAATGTTATGTTTACCATAGCTTCAATGATCTAATAAAGGTTTAAACTTTTATATCACTTAAATATTTAATTTTAAATTGTAATTAATTAACTCCATTAAACTTCTATTATAGATGGAATGGGTTCGTCATCAATGTCACTGTCCAAATCAACAACGAAAAGATTTCTGTTGGGGGATGTCACAAATGGTATCATAACATTTTTTATTTGAAATATGACGTTTCTGAGGTTTTTTCCTCTTGCCAAATAAGTAAACGAGTAGGATCTCTTCTCAATGCAGTGTTAGCATCACACAAAGTTCAATCATCAATGAGTACTTCAAGCACAATAAAGTACAATGATGTGGAAAATTCAGTACAACTACAAAGGCATAATCTTGAACGAAACATTGATTTAGCTTCTATATCACGTGCCATAGATTTCAATGAAGGTAACACTACAATAATCATAGTTATGGATGTGTAACTATGTCTCTATCATTCATTCTACATATATGTGATTCATCTCTGCCCATATTACTTACCATTTTAAAATTTAAAAGTGATTACTAGAGATAAAATAAAAAATTATATTATAATACAAATTTGGAACACAGTTGGGCAAAGTCAAGTAAACGAGAGATGGGCTTTGGCAAAACAATGCAAGAGCACGACGAAAAGATATACTTCGACAAAGAAGAGTGCACAATGGTATGTTTGGCCATTATTTGAGAATTTGATAAAAGCTTAAACATGTATATCACTTTAGAAATCGTTAATAAATATTTTACTTTGTAGTCTTCGTGAATTTTCTTTAACAGGTTTAAACGGTTCGTCATCAATATCACAGCCCAGATCAACAACAAAAGGAAATCCATTGGTGGATGTCACACACGGTATAAAAACCTTATTTTTATAAGTTTTAGAATATTATCAACTCAATATTTCTCTTGCAGAAGAAAAAAATCAGTGGTTTTCTTTTTATCTCAATGCAGTGTTAGGATCACACGAAGGTCAAACATCAATTAGTACTTTAAGCAATAAAAGTACAATGATGCAACTACGTCGGCACAAATACGGATGCATAATTTTCAAAGAAAGATTAATCTATCTTCTGTATCATGTGCCATTGATTTCAATGAAAGTATTAGTCCAACCGTCATCATTATGTATGTATTACTATGTCTCTATCATGCACTCTACGTATATGCATGTAATAAATACCTACACATAATTATTTCCTAGACATCTCTATTTGTGTTAAATTTTGTATGAACAATATACATGTGACAAAAGGAACGAATTATAAATTATGATTCATGATCGAGAATGTGGCATAACTAAAAAACACATGTTAACAATAATTTGTGAATTTAGTCCATATAATCTTCATATTTAAAAGTTTTTAAAATATGTTTTCTTAGAAACTTTTGGCAATTTTAACCAAACCCATGTAAAAAAAAACTATTTGCAGGCCTAGAATGCAAAACAAACAAGAAATGGGAATCAACAAAAGATGTAAGAGCAAGAAGAAAAAATATATGTGAACGAAGAAGAGAGAATAACGGTTAATTTAAGATTGAGTTTTTATATCTATCAATATTTAAAATATGTATATCAATTTAAACTTACAAGGTAAAAATTGTTTGATTATTGTTTGTTTATATAAAATATATTTACAGCTGGTGAAGGATCGTTGTTGTGTGTAACAATGTCATCGTCTAGGTCTAGAAAAAAATAAATCCAATACTGGATATGACAAACGATATCTATATAAATTAATTGATTTATGACATCTACTTTGTCTATTAATTAAACATATTTTACATTATTTTTATATTTATAAAACTGACTCCGCAGTGTTGGCATCGCGCCAAGTACGATCATTCATTCAAAATAGTTCAACGAGACTTGAGTTCAATTCTACAAGAACTTCAACACACTTTGAGTCGTGTGTTAGACAAAGAATCAATGATTTTCCGAATATAATGCGTTGCAGAGATCTCAATGAAGGTAATATTAGAACATGTGTCTATGTTTGAATTACTAAGTAGCAATATTTATTCACATATCTAAATTTTCTTCGTATATGATATATATGTGATATGTTTCAATGGCCTATTTCTTTATAGAATTAGTGGCAAATTCTTCATGCGAGCAGACAAACTCAGAAGAGTTCTCAATTGATAATCCTCTATTTGTAATAGCAGAAATGAAAGGTACTTATAGATTTAATTTAAACATAATGCTTTAGGTGATTTTACAATTACCAAAATATTTTTTTTCTATCATCTAATATTATCTATTTGTATAGAAATAATTGGCATGATTTTGGTGACCCAGCGTGCAAGTGTGCATTTTGTGAAGCTTTGTTACGGTATGAGGAAAGGGCCGAAAAGTCTAGAGTCAAAATCTAGAGTTCTCTATTTGTTTTATGAAAGGAAAAGTACAACTCCCTCTTCTAAAAAGACCACCAGATTGATGCAAGAATTCTCATTTTATGACAAATATGAGAAAATGCAATTGTATGTTTTCATTCACGTCATTTGATGGAAAAATACAAAAGTCTCAGAACAATGGCCGAGCAGCTCATTAAGAGGAGGAATGATCACAATATTGGATCTTTATTGCCACATGAGGGTGTTGTTCCAAAATTCACTCAATTATACATATACGATACCCAGAATGAAGTCTCAAACAGAATGAGTCATTACAAGCACTGGCGGATCTAGTAGTTTGTAAGAGGGGGCAACTGCCCCCAGTGAAATTGGGCTTGCCACATAATTTTGATTGTAATTTTGTTTTTTTAATTTAATGGTATAGGATATGCCCCCAGTAAAATCTCCAAAATTTATCATTGCCCCCATGCTCTCATACTACTTTGATAAAATATCTAACCTGACCAATCTTTGCCCAATCAAATCTGGTCCAATTTTGAAGACTACAAGTGCATGTGTAAAAGAATTTTTTCCTTAATTAAGCTTGTCGGAGTTCTTACTTTCTACGTAATTTTCTTTGGCCTTCGTCAATAGCCCTCCTAATTACATATACTTCCTCCGTTTGCAAAAAGACTTCCTATTTTGGCTTGGAGCAGAAATAAGGAAGTGTTAAATTTTAGTTGACTTCCAATTTTGCCCTGATGTGATGGGTGAAAGTAAGATGTGATGGATAGATTATTAGAGAAAAAATATGATGTGATAGGGGGTATGAAAAAGCAAGGGTAAAAGTGGTTTTTTAATAGAAAGTGGAAGTGTTTTGTTAGAAGTGAAAAAAATTAAAGAGGGAGTGTTTTTAAGAATGGAAAGAGTAGTTTTTATTTGATTTTAATTTACATTTATTATATTAAACTGACTTGGTCTGATTTCGAGAATTCAATTACCCTAGACAAGAAAAAATAGGTCCTTATCTCTAACAAATTAAAATAGGACCATGCTACACTCACACCAAAAAATATACCCCATTTGTACACCACAGGCTTGCACAAACATTTCGATGGTTTACACCGACACAAGTGTTGGTACGTTAATAAATATTCACACGGACACAAATGTTGGTGCGTTTAACAAAAATTAATTTTACACCAACACAAAGTGTTGGTACAAAACTGCGGGGTACAAATTGGGGTACAAACCTTGGTGTACACATAGCATAATCCATTAAAATATAAAGAGTTTAAATCCTAATTGGGAAATGACTTATGTTTTAGTCCTATTCAGTACAAATTTCACTAATCTTTATATAACAATTAACATAACAGCAATAAACATAATAAAATGATACTCTCTCCGTTTCTTAAAATACTTCCTCTTTTATTTTATTGCATGTTTTCCCCAAAATACTTTCCATTAAAAAATCACTTTTGCTCTTATTTTTTTCTTACGCTATCTATCACATCATACTTTTTCACTAATAATCCATACATTACATCTTACTTTTACTTATCACATCAAAGGCAAAATTGGAAAGTCGACCACAAATATACACTCCTTATTTCTCTTAAAAGTCAAAATAGGAACCGTTTGATGAAACGGAGCTAACATAAAAATTAAAATTCTATATTTAAAAAAATGAAATATAATTCTGGTGCAGGCCGGTAGGGCTGCTTCACCTCCTAAATATGCCCCCGGCAAAAAATAATTCTGGATCCGCCACTGATTACAAGTACTTACTATATACACCATACTCAGCTCATTCTTTATACATATGATTTATTGAATAACACAATAACAAAATGTTTACATTTTTATACAGTAAAACAAATAAATGATCAACTACAGATAGAAGTTTAGTTGAGGATTTGAAAAATATGACAGATCAGTATAATGTTTAAGAATGACTAGAGACTTCATCGAACGTGAACCTACTGCTAATTTTTCCTTGAGATCACTACGAACAAGAAGTCGGGATTTGAAGAACATGGATATGAAGAAGAAATTCCTATAAGGGAATCTTTTTTTATTGGAAAAGATGTAAAGTGTCCAAGGGTATCCATAAGAGAGTTTATAGCATTTCGCATTCATGAAAGGGAAAATGATTGTGGTATTGTCTTACGCACACAGAGGTTGTTCTTACAATTTTTGGTTGACGCATATACAATGGTAGAAGCACAATGAATTCAATGGGCTCTTAGAAATCAAGATCAACTAAGAGGAGATGTTCTGAGGGGCTTGGAGGGAGCTATTACAAGAGGTGATACAGATCCAACAACATCTGGACAACGTATTATCTTGCCAACTTCTTTTACTAGTGGAATGAGATATATATTTAACAACTGTCAAGATGCAATGGCAATATGTAGACGTTTTGGATATCCAGATTTGTTCATTACTATCACATGTAATCCTCAATAGCCAGAGATTGCAAGATATATGGCTAGAAGCAATTGTAAGGCAGGAGACAGACCGAACCACAAAATTGTTTTGAAGAAAGGAGTACCAATTATGTTATTAAGAAACATTGATCAAACATTTAGGTTGTGTAATGGTACAAGGTTAATAGTTGAAGAGTTGCGAAGAAACGTTATCGGTGCAATTGTTGTATCAGGAAACAATGCCGGCGAGAAAGTTTACATACCAAGAACGAATTTGGTACCGTCAAATCCTGGATTACCGTTTAAGTTTCAAAGAAGACAATTTTCAATATCTTTATATTTTGGCATGACAATCAATAAGAGTCAAGACCAAATATTATCATATGTTGGATTATTCTTGACCAAATCGGTATTGACTCACGGTCAACTTTATGTTGTAGTTTCATGAGTGAAAACTAAGACATGATTGAAAGTGTTAGTTTTAGATGACAACGAAACGATAACCCTTGCAATTGTACAAAAAATATGGTTTACCCTGAAGTTTTCCAAAAAAATTGGATTTAATTGATACGTTGGCACATTCTTTTCAATTTTTATATATATGAATTTAAGTTACCATGCTCTGTTTATGTCGCATCTAACATTCTATATTATATGTACTTCATTTTTTAATTTTTTTCGTAAAACAAAATTTAATATAGTTAAAAGTAACATGTGTTAGACCCCGTGCGTTGCACGGGTTAAATACTAGTCTCTAAAAACATTAAAGAATCAAAGTAAAAAATTAGATATATAAAAAAAGTAGTAGGGGGCATGTGACCCCAACACATCCTAAGTACATCCGCCATTTATTTACTCCCATTGATGAAGCTGCTCAGTTGATGGAATGTGAATCAATCATACCACTTCAACTTTAAGGCCTGCAACATGCAATTCTTGTAGGGGATGAACACCAATTACCGGCGACTGTCCAAAGCAAAGTGAGCATCCAATGTTTTGATTTTTTTTTCTGTCTTTAATCTAAAAATTCATATCGTCTTCTTTAACCAATTGACTAGAAAAAAGTTTTTAATAGGTATCTGGTGAAGCTTGTTTTGGAAGAAGCTTGTTTGAAAGGCTAAGTTCATTGGGTCACTCAAAGCTCATACTTAAAGTGCAATATCGAATGCATTCAGCAATAGAGAAAAAATGGTGCGGGTAGGGTGGGAGTGGGGCTGAAAGAGGGTATGGCTTAGCATTACTATGACATCATATCATCCCCTTACCGAATGACATGATAGCGACGTGAATGGGTTTAGACGTGAAATCAAAACTATACTAACACATTTAAATCTTTATCTTTATATATAAAAAAGAGAGTTAAACTCCTAGAAATTTGAAATGTGGAATTTCTACTAGGATATTTTTTACATGTCATCTTCCATCACATTTATGACTCTTTAAAAAAATTGACATGTGGCGATATTTATGTGGCACTATTTTTTGACAAATTATCATTTATGTAAGACAATCAGAAAACCAAAAAAATAATTTGTTATAAATTTATGAAAGGCAATCAATTACAAGTTAAGTAAATATATAATATACTTAAATAAATATTTAACATTCACTTAAAATAATAAAATGCATTCGGAATGATAAAAATAAAAACTTTTTTGGACCGACACCTAACAATTTCAAAGTATTGTAAAAATGTCCTCTTATTTTTTAAAAATTTAAAAAGAATAATTTTCTGGAGACATCTAAAAAAAATAAAGGATTTTCTTGGACATTGCAAAAAAATTATCACCCCTCTCCATGGCGACGCTTTTATCTTTTCCATTAGAGTATTTTCTGTTTCTTTTTCTTTTTTTCATTTCCTTTTGTTATTATTTTAGTTTACCTTATTATTCTATTCCTCATTTTTCTCTAACATCCAAAAAGTAGTTTTTTTATTTTAGAGAATAAAAAAATAAATATGTTTAATTTGAGACAAATAAAATATATGTTATATTTTTATTTTCTTTATTTCAAAAATGAAAAATTGTGAAATTTTAAAATATAATAAGACATGATTGTAAAAAAATATTTAAAAAACTTCTTGAAATGAAACAAAGAGAAGAAAAAGGAGAAACAAAAATAAAAAAATATTACAATCATAAAACACGTTTTTTGCCCCTATCGTTTAGAAAGTGATTATTAATCCTCCTCTATCAAGCTTTAGTTGCACTCCTATAGCGTGAAATGCAAACGCCTGAGTTTCATTAACGGAGGAGGCATGCATGAAACTTTTGGAAATCATATAGATTTACAACTAAGTTTTGAAAAGAAAGCGGATATTATTGGTTGAGGGTTATTTCTCAAATGATATTCTTCCATGTTTTAAGATAATACTAAGAAAAAGAAAAAATATTTGTATATCTTTCATCCTTTATATATAAAAGTTGATTCTTAACTTGACGAGCGCAACATGTGACATATCTATGTTGCATATTTTTGATACATAAGCTTAAACCTAATTCATGGGTTGAATAAAAAATAACTTTTGTTTCCAAAAAGAAATTTTGTCAAAAAGGAAATATAATCTAAAAAATTGAAAAAACTTTATTTTCTTATATAATATTTTTCCACTTCACTAAATAAGACAAGAAAAATAATTAAATTGAATTATTAAAAATAAAAACTAACAGAAACAAACATATAAAAGATAAATATGGATAAGAGAGTGTCATCTTGGTGCCTGTTTGAGAGGTTTATATTATAAATTTGGATGCAATTATTTTTGTTTATTCATTGCATTTACATGTATACAAATTTCTAATTTCGTACTTCTGTTCTAATACTAATAATCCACTCACTTTGAGCGGCTCTCAACGACACTAGCTAGCTTTAATTGTAGTACCTGTTGTGCTCCGTTCACAAAATTGATTGTTCCAACCTCGACATCCCAGTAAACCCTCCCACATTGGTCTAGAACCATTCTGATTAAAGTAATAATATTATTATTATTATTACTACTATCATAAAAATGCACGCAAAAAAATTTTAAATCGCTATTGAAAGAAATAAAATGATTTTAGATAAAACTAAAAAGAATGGAGAGAATTTTGAAAAAAGTTAGAAAAAGTTAGAAGAAATAAATTGCG